CTAAGACTGGAAAGCATCTCTAATGGTCATCAAGTCCAAGTGCTCCCTGCTTGAAGCAGGGCCAGCTAAACCAAGTTACCGTGGGCCATGTCTAGTACAGTTTTGACAATCTGCCATGATAAAAACTATGGTCAACCTGTTCAAATTATCATTCTCACAGCAAAAAAGATTTTTCTTACGTATAAATGTAATTTCCCATCTTTCAGTTTGTGTGCATTGTTTTTTCTTCTGTCACGGAGCACCACTGAGAAGTCTGTCTCCATTTTCTTTATTCCTCCCATCAGATAGTTATACACACTGACAGTATCCTCCTGAACCTTCTCTTCTGCAGGCTGGATGATGCCATCTCTTTCTACCTCTCCCTCATATGACAGATTGTCCATTCACTTAATCATTTGTTGGACTTACTCTGGCAAATCCATATCTCTCTTGCACTGGGGAGCCAAGACACAGTATTCCAGATGTGTATCAGCAGGGCTCAGCTGAGAGGAAGGAACACCTCCCTTGGTCTACTAACAACACTCTTCCATGACTAGTATGTTGTTGGTTTTCTTTGCTATAAATGTGCATGGCTCATTAATGATAAAGTTTGTTTTCTGGTAGAGGCCCCGGGTCTCTCTCTGTGAAGGTGATTTCCAGCTGGTTGTCCCCAGTGCTTACCAGTGCCTAGGTTATTCCTCCCTAGACGAAGGACTTCCCATTTCCTTGGGAGTCCATTTCTGCTATCAAGGTCCCTCTGAATGTCAGCACATCCATCTAGTCCGTCATCCACTTCTTTGAGTTTTGTATCATTTGCACTCCTGTTGTGGTGTGATGTGCTGTGTCCCACCATTTAGGTTGTTAATGAAGGTGTTGAACAGTATGGCCTCAGTGTTGGCCTCAGGGGCCCTGCACTAGAGATTAGCCTCCAGGGGAAAATGCTGTCACTGATCATAGCCCTCTGAGCCCAGCAGTTCAGACTCTTCACATTCCCTCTCTCTTTCTACTTATCTAGACGTTACTTCTTTGTCTAAAAGCAACTTAGGGAAGACTATACCAAAAGCCTTACTAAAGTCAAGGTAAAAAACATCCAATGCTCTTGCCTCATCCACTACATCCATCATCCTTTGTAGACAGGTTGATGAGCTCTTGGGTGTTAATAAACTATTACATATATTATTCAGATATTCTTATGGAAAGGCTAACTGTATTGGTGAAATTCTTGCACACTACTTGATAAAAATCCTGTGTAGAGTAAAATGTGATTACTTATACATTAAAAAAATAGATTTTGTCCTATAGATTCATATAAATAATCCATCTGCAGTTGTGATTAAAAAAAAAAATCAAACCAAAACAAAAGAACCAGCCTGTTATTTATATAATCTGAAGTTTATTTGTGAAACTTGTTTATTTTGAAGTCAAACCCAGTAATACCCAGAACGATTATAAACTCACTAAATACCCTGACACTAATGGGTTGACTTGAATAAATAAGTTAGGATGGCAACATTAAATCCTTTGGGAACTCAGCAATAAAGCCAGTATGTGCAGTTTACTAGACCAAAGTATATTTATCCAAATCCTGTTGGTAAAAGGCATTTCCCCTTTTATTCACTTTAAACTTCTAGAAGATCATCTTGAATTCTAAGAAGGTCCCAACAGCTCATTTTTCCCTGCAAATCTGGGTCACCTAACCTACAGTACTTTATTGAAGTGCAGGATGTAGAGTGATTTCTAGATTTCAGTAGGTAACTTTTCCAGTAATGTGTTTTAATATGCCTTAGAATATTAGTTTAATAAAATATAACAACAGTTAAGCCTCATAATAATTTTTTTCTCCATGTCTAATTCTGATACTATAACTCATAACTACATACTGTCACTGCCATAGTTGTTAAATTTACCTTTATCAGTCTAATAAGATGATTTTTTTTCTCTCTAAATGTCATGCTGACATACAGAACTGTTGAAATGGTAGGAGATAAGAATTTTTTGATATTATATTAAAGTTACAAATTAAATAACATGATAATTACAAGTTTTCTAATTAATTTGACTTTTTTTTTTTTTTTTAAATCATAATTTGCAGTTTGGCCCACATTCTCCATCTAGAAAATGGTTTTGAAAAACACAGTGCAGAGCACAGGAAGAACAGAGCTTCTCCAAAGTGTATCAGTTTGAGATTGGAATGCCTCAAATGTGTGTAAAATTTGTCACAGACCCTGTTACTTTGAAATTTTAATTCTCTTCAAATATTAGCAAGTTGAAAAATACTGTTAGTATGTGTGTTTCACATCATATAACATTGGAATGAATTTGCTTTTATTTTTCTATTAAACTATAAAAATTAATGGTATTTAAGATGTTGTACAATGTGTTAATGTTGGGAATCCAGATTGTGTTTTTTAATTATTTAAAAAGCAGCAATGGATTTAGGCCAGGACTGTGCATCTCTTGGACTCTAATGAACCTGGAATAAGTCCAATCAAGTGGACATAACTAACATTTATAAATGGTGACAGTTCACAACACCCTTAACTTATTTTTCCTATTTATTTTAATGTGACAGATAGCAAAGGAGGTTTAACTATGGCTTTTATAACAGCTTTTCTATTATTCCGACTTCCTATGCTTGGATAACAGTTTATTCCAGACCAGTCCGGTTTCCTTTGCTTGATCCTGCAGCAAAGTCGTAATAATCCTATTGGTAACATTACAGGCTGTTGCTATGGAAATTAATGTATTATCTCAGAAAAATGACAGATGGGTTGAAGAGGGAACAAGCCCATACTTAAACACTGATCCTTACATGACTAACTAATCCCTAAACGGATGTCACTTAGAGAACAGCTAATTTCAAAGACTTTACTGAAACCATGTGACTGACATGAATGGCAGAGGACAGAGGCTATGTTAAGTATTTTGCTTCAATTTAGTTAAACTATCTCAGTTTCATTCCCACTTGTGGCCCATATTGCTTTTCTCTGTACATGTTCCAGACAGCCTGCAGTAGGTCAGGAACCATCATAAGATAGCAGCAGATAGCAGCATTGTGTGCAGTTTAATAGCTTCTCCTCATCTCCCCCTCTGTGTGGATGATGTCATTAAAAAAAGAAGTGGACAAGGCAGGATCAATGAAGTAGCTATCATTTGCTGATGCACTTCAGATTTAAAAAACAAAACAAAACAAAACAGAAAATAAACAAAGACGATGCGCATTATACCATCACTACTGAGCATATTTTAAGTCTTTAATCGTTGAGGTTTATTCTTTCTCTTAAACAAAAACATTAGGGCTTTTTGCCCATGGCAGTATAAATCAGGCTAAATTATGGAAAATGCAGCATATAGCAAGTGGAATTTGCACAAGAATTTGCAAAATAGGAGTGTAGGTTAAAAAATCCTCTGGGATACAAGTGCTAATAGTGAACTGGATCAAGGTAGTAGAATGAGAAATTTAGTGTGTTGGATTTTTAAAGGAGAAAACCATGACTATGGTATGGAAATTTGTATAAGACTGACAAGTGACAGCTGATTTTCATTCAATACACAAAATGTTTTTGTTTTTGGAAAAACAGAAGGAAAAACACAAAAATAGGCTTTTTTCCCATTTTCCCAATACTAAATTTCACCATTTTGATAAGTTTTTCTTTGGAATAATTTCACTACTTTTCATAAATCACATTCCTCTTTGCTGGGGTTTTTTTTTTTAAATGTCTCTGCCTATGAATAATGATGTTGCAACAACTGTCAAAAATATACTATTGGTAAATACTTAGCAAAAAGGAAGATCTGGCTCTGCTGCTGATAAAATACTGAGTATTAAAATTATCTTATAATGCTATGAGTAATAGCAAGAATAACTACTTATGAAAATGTATGTCTGAGTAAAATCAGTAGATAACATATTATTATTTCAGAATCATTAAAAAAATATGTATCAAAACAGGGATTTAATTTAAAGTCTCCAGAACTGAAAGCCAGTGACCTAAAATATGTCATAATTTTAATCACCAAAAAAAAAAAAATCAACTCCACAAAGGTAAGCTATTGTTTGAATTATTTGAAGGAAAAATTGCTACATCTGTGAAAGACGTATCTTCTGCAAATTATATTCTTTTGTAGAAGAACACCTGCACTGACCCACTCTTTCACTTAAAATTCAATGAAAGAAGCAAAGAAATTAACCCCACCATCCACACTGCAGAGGAAAGCTGTGTAGTAATAACAAGCAAGATTAGGAAACATGAATTGATGGGTCATGCCAGACATCTGTTCTGTAACCATACACATCATGCTTTTTCCTACCTTGTTTTTTCTTGGTTGACTTTTTTTTTTTTTTTTTTCATGTGAAGTTAATCAGGTGAATAGGAGACGTTAAATTCTGTAGTTTCATTTTAGCATCTGCTAGAGACATAAGTGAATATGAGAGAATAAGTCCCAATGGACTAGTGTTGTTGCTGTTAGGTGGAAGTCAAAGATAGTTCAGAGCCATTAGAAACAGATAATAGTGTTGTAATTGAGTAAAAAACAAAGCTGATATCCAAAGAACAGTGTGATAAGGAAGGTAGCATATAGTGGATTTGGGCTGTCTTTGTTACTCGCTCTAAGAATAAAGAATTTCTCTTATTTATTTGTTATATAGGGGTTGAAGGGTTGTTATATGGGTCAAAGATAACATTAGTAACAATACTTTTATCAGATTGCATGTAATTTCTCTTTCAAAAGAAATAATAGTATTTGGTCCTGTCAAGGTAGTTATAATGATCAAATATTTGTGATACCATTAAGAGTTGATTGTATACCTTTCTTCCAGGGAGCTAGCATGCAGTTCATTTAAATATGAGATAATACTTTTGATAAGCTTACTTCTAAGAAGTACAGCATCAACAGATGTGTTGACAGAAGGAAACAAAGAGAGGCAGAAGGAATTTAGTGTCACAAGTATTTATTATGCAAGAGGTATAGTGGAGGCTTCTGCAAATCATACACTAAAGCTGCCCCGTATTTCTGAACAGCATTGCCTGGATATCTTTGAAACTGTGATAGGAATGAGAAAGAGTTCTCATGCCTCAGCCATACTTCCAGAATACCACAGGAGCTCTGTAAATTTTCTAACCTGAAGTCATATCTCACAAGCAAATAAGAAGTAAACGGTGTGAGTATTTAATTCAACCTTTTTTGTTGATTCTCAATGTATCTGTATTTCAAAAATTTAATTTTAAAGCCAAATATTCTATAATTATCTTTGCGATGTGATACTCTGAGGCTATGTGATGATTCATATCAATTCATGGAGGTTTAGGTCAGAAAAGTTACATTATTTTTTCATGTTAAGGTTGGTTGTAGAAGAGCTTAAGGATATCTTAATTTCTTATCCTTATTTACAAGGCAGAACTTTGATAAAATGTCTTACAGTGAAGTATCAGTAGAAAAATTACCAAACAAAACATTGAAATGAACAAAACCACTAAAGACAAAAACCCACAAACTTTAAAAGAGCTCATTTAGAACTATCAGATTATTGTTTGTCATAAATAAACAATTATTTGAAGGGGATTAGATTACATAAGATAAGAGAAAGGACTTTAGACCAGAAACACTTCTGTACTGAACAAGCTGGTAAAAACCATTTAAGAATAAACTTATGTACATTGATAAGTGGCATCATGGGGAAGATTTAACACAGATTTCACTGCAGAAAGTCTTGAATCAAAATCTGTGTAAGTTTTATGACGTCTTCTGGATAAGATTTATTGGAATGAGTCCTGGGTTTCCAATAAACTTTCATAAGATATCTTAAAAAAGGTTCTTAAAGAGATGAAATCATCATTAAAAGGGGATGATAGGTGTCTCATAAATTTGAAACACAATGTTATAAGGAGGAAATAAGGAAAAGTAGGAAATCAAAGAAGCAAAGAAATAAGCACTTTACAATGGAGATTTTCCACAAAGCTTTTGAGCCATCTGTGGAGTGCAGAAAATATTCAAACTGCTTATAAATAATGTGGAAAAGGGGAAATATGGAGGTAACAACAGCGAGCTGAGAGCACACAGTTAGAACTGACTACAGAGAGACTCAGAGGGATCTCAAAGCATTGTGAATCACTGGGTGATAAAAATGGCAGACAAGACCCAGCACTGATAAATACAAAGTAATACTCACGAAGGCAAAACCAGTCACAGTCACACATATATAGTGTTAAGCTTGAAATAACTATAACATTCAGGAAAGAGGTCTTAATGTCATTATTGAATGGTTCTATTGAAAATATCAGCTTGCTATTCAGAAGTGGTTAAAAACTCATGGAAGATGTTTTGGATTAGTTGGAAATTTGAATTTGGAAATTTGTTTGCTTTTTAAAAAAAAATTGGAAATTTGCTTTTTTTAAAAAAGCAAACAAATTATTTTGTTATTTATTAAAAAAATGAATAGGCAACACTTATTCTTCATTTTTCATCATAGTTTATGTATAGCCATTGTAGAATAAACAAAAGCTCTTATGTGGAATCCCTATCCATATATGTAAAACTGGTCTTTGGAATTCATTGTTACAGGAGAAAAATATGAAGAGTTCAAAAACTATTAAGTAAATTCATAGAAGAATCGTCCATATATTAAACATGGTGCTGTGTCTGTAGCCTCCGGAGTGGGAAGTCTCAGAACCACCATCAACCAGATACTGGAGCCAGGGAGAAATATTCACTGCTTTCCATACTCTATCTCTAATCATTTATCACAAGCCGTGAAGAGCAACAGAAGACCTTTATCCTGGCCTAGTATGATGGTTTTTACATAAGGGATGGGTTGTGGAAAAGTTTTGCTAGAAAGGTATGAAAGTCCTGATTTCAAATGCACAGCAGTCAACAGCAAGAATCCCATCTGTGCCCACGGCTTTGACACAGACCTAGACCTTCCTTACCAGCCCTGAATTGCCATCCCCTGTCTGGAGGCACAGGAGGAACAACTGCCCTATCCACCATTAAGTTTCACCACAGACTTTGAAAGAGGCTTAAGATGCTTATGGACCTTCCTTCCACAGGTCGTTCCTGCTGGCTGGATTTCACCCAACAGGAGAAGTTGCCATGCCAGCAGTGCTCAGCACACATGGGATATAACATCAAGTGGAATGACCTTCAGAAGACGTCTCTCTCTCATGCACTCCCAAAGCATTATGCTTTTTCAGCACCTGTGAAGAGAGGATAAGTTAAAGTAGGCTTCAGCATTTAAAGTTTAACATAATGGAGCAGTTTATTTTCACAGTCTGATCATTTTCCAGCTGGCTTTCTGACATTCTTCAGTTTTATTCTTTGTGCCTACCTCATCTAAGGTATTTACTTTACAGAAGTATCACACAGACTGTATGTGTATTTGGTTCAAACAGGCAGAGGAACGTAGTTTCATAAGCCTTTACTCCCGTACTTACTCACAGAGCAATAGACATCCAGAGCTATCATAGAAAAAATGATACTATATTTTGGAAGGAAACTGTCTCATTTTACTTCCATCTGCTTTAAGTATTTTTAATAAACCTCTTGCCATAATATCTGAGTGTTAATAAGTACAAACTAAGTTTCACTTAGAGAGAGAGACTATTTCACTACAGAGACCAGTGTAAAGAGCTCCTGTACTTTTAAATATTTTTTGTAAGGAATTTATTTATTTATTTTAAATATTATTCTTTGATCATGACTTTAAACTTTATCAACAAACTGAAATCTGGAAGCTTCCTTCTATGCCAAAGCCTAAGATGCCAGGAATTTGCTAAAGATAGAAGTGCTATAGCTTTAAGATAAGCATCAATCATTTCATAGTTTAGAAAGAAAAACCAAAGTTTTCTGTAAACTCTGTAAACAGCCCTGTAAACACACTCTATAAACAGCTCAGCTTCGAAATCCATCAAAATATCAACCTCCTTCTATCGGAAAGAGCATTCCTGAGCACTGTGCAGCTATGCCTTGAAGCAGAGACTGTCCCACTTTGTTAACTATACCACCAAGCCAAGTTCTCCTCTACAAATGAGCAGACAAGGACTTTTTGAAAACAACTGAAGATTTTACAAGGTATTTGGCAATATACCCTAACATATCAAATTGTTTTTCTTCTTGGAGGGTCCAAAACAGCATTATACTTAATTTGGAATTTAGGCTATCATACATTGAGGCTTTGTATGCTGACATTTTCTTAGTGAACACTTTCTTCTACTTGAACTCTTGCCTAAGATTTTGCGTTTTATAAGACAAACCTGTTCAGCCTGCATGCTCTGAGCACTACATCTCCTCCTGTACAGAAATGCCAGGGTTTACAATCAGTAGACGCAGAGCTGAGTTTGGATGCTACAGCTTCAGCAGTTCATTCTCCTCTTTCCTTCGTTGCCATTCCTGTGTCTGGTCATGCATCGCTAAGGCATAGTCCCCAGCCCCAGATCTCTTGAGCTTTCCATCTCTCACTCGTGAGGAGCCATGCTGGTTTGCATCTCCTTTTTCACCTCCACTCACCCCCTCTGTAAATTGTGGCATCCTTTTGTTTTTTGATCATCAGGAATACGGTAACCTTGGCAGAAATCACTTTAATCATATTTTTCCTTCAAAAAAATTCTTTACTGAAACTTCAAACAAATGTTTTATGAGAAATTTCTGACAAAGTCAATGCAGACTGCTTTTCAAAGTATCTTTTTCTTTGAAAAAAGTCTTAAAAAGCATCAAAATAAAATGTATAAAAGCATTCATGCTTATCTGTTTGGTTTGCATAATCAAGCTCACTTCAGGAAAAAAGGTAATATCCTCTAATTTCCTGTAAACCCGGAAAGATTTTTTTTAATTCTTTTAAACCAGTAGATTGCATATGAAATCTAAAAAATGTAATCTTTTTTAATGAACAATTTAACAATCATAGTGATTAATAAAAAGTCATTTTGTGGAATTTATTTTGGGCGTTTTTTATTCATCAGATCTATGTTTTTGCACACTGTGTGAAAGGAAAAGCATCTTTAGTTCTAAATCAATTTTACGAGATTAAGGACAGCTGTTCAATTTTCTTCTGTTTATTTATATCAGAATGATTGTGTCAATACCCACCCCTCTGAGTTAAAATATGCCAAAGACTTTCAGTTTCATTCTTTGGCAAGCAGGGTTGGTTTCCAATGATGCTTTTTTTTACTTCTAACCCCATATTTCTTTTTCTTTCCCCTTCATTTTTGTTGTTATTATCTGCACAATACGGACCAATTTTCTATTTTCCTTCTGAAGAAGTCTATAACCACAAGTGAAAACTCTTTATTTCCTAATAATGAAGTTATCAAACATGAGTTTATCAGTTTATAGAAGACTTATGAGTCATAAACTGTGAGGACTCCCTCCTAAAAATATCTTATTTACATACTTATAGTATAATGCTGGTAAAGAAAGTCAGTGAGAAAGGAAATAGGCAACATTTGCAAAGAAAATTTCAGAACTGAGATTGAAGCAGCAAATTTTTAAACTCAGAATTAATTGCCTCCACCCGTGGATTCAAACACCCTATACTGCATGATGTGAAAAAGGGATTTTGAAATGCTTCCTACTTTTCAAAATGGGTATATATCTTCAGGTACTATGGTCACAGTTAATTTAATTTTTGTTCAGGCACTATAACTACAAAAAAGTGCTCCTGCAACACACTATTAGCATTTTTTAACTAACAGAGATTCTTAAAATAGAATAATTAGTTCCCATTTACAGTAGAACATACATTATATCTTCACTCAGAAATGCAGTTTAATTAATCTAGAGTTATAATCTCTCTGGTCTTCCAACCTTTTTTAAATGTTTTTGAACCTTTTTCTCTAGGCAAACAAGCTAGTTATGAGCTGGAAATTAATTTTATACATTTGGTCTTATCCGTTTCTTTGAAAGCTAGTTCCCCATTTGTCTCAGCTTAGTGAAATTGCCATGCAATTAAACAATGAAAACTAAGCCTGTTTGGCCTAAATGAAAAGAAATGACAAGTAGGGAAAAACATCTGAAGAACTGATCAGATGTGGATTAATGAGCACACATTTCCTTTTTCCATTTTGGTAATAGCAGACTAATTAAAATGATGCACTAACTTTTATTCAAACAATAACACATCACAATAACACTATTATTCCTGATTTGGTAAAGCCAGTTATGATGATTATACCAACTGATTTCTGTCAGAAAATATTTTAAGAACTTGAAGTTGGATCATTAACAGATTTACTTATTTATACAGAAAGGAAAAAATATTATTATTTCTGTCAAGTGAGACTTTATTGTAACACTAACCTCCTGGACTTTTCTTACTAGGACAATGCATTGCCTCTCTTTCATATGCAACAATTCTGGTTTTTTTCTAACATATTTTATCACTCATGCATTTAAAATGCCATCCACCATATACTCTTTCTTTCCTTTTTCACTTGGAGTTTCATTCTTGCCACTCAGTGTCTCTGAAATCTATATAGACTAGTTTTGATAGAGTTTAAATTTATATGAAAGAAACATACACAAAACAAACTTTTTAGAAGTTTATGCCTTTGTTTTTTTTTTTTTTTTTTTTTTTAAAGTCATTCCATCTTTGCTGTAGAGATATGACATTCTAGTTTTACTTAAGACATTTCAAAATGCAAAAAATGTAAGGGAGCAACTTAAGAACCGTCAGTTTTTGTTGAGTTCTTGGAGTACGTGGTATACTTGACTTGAGAACTACTCTTTTTCTCATGATGTTAGAAGGAGTAAGTTTCATCAACCATTGCTGACTCAGGCATTTATAACTTCAGTGCCTATTTTCCTTAAATTTAGACTGTGTGTGCTTAGTGCTATCAGCCACAAAACAAGTCAGATTTATTGTCCCATTACTACACACTGCTCTACATGTATTTATTTATCTAAAAATAAAAATAAAATCAACTGATTTCTATGTTTCTATGTAACTATTGCCTCTAAATAAATGCACTAGACAAATGTATGAAAAGAAGTAGTCTCAATTCTTTACTCATCATTTATACTCTAAGCAAAAAATAACAGGAAATCTTTATTAGTTTCTTTTTAATATACAGAATACATTGAAAAACTTTGAAAGGAGACAACGAATCATTATGTGTAATTAGCCACACCCCTACCATACTGAACAATAAGAAGTTATATGGAAAACTGACAAAAAATAAGTTATATTTGTTCCTATGAAGCTAATGTAAAACAAAAAAGAACACTGAAAAAGAAAGGAGAGCTTTATTAACAAGTAGGAGGGTCCTATTTAACCTGTACAAATTATTATTTCTACCTCCCATCAGGACTGAATTTCAATGTACTTGAAATCCCAAGCTAAGAACATGCCCAAACTGTCTGTTTTTACTGAAACCAACAGGTCTTATTCTTGAGTACTTGTAATTCCCTTTAGTGCTACTGCAGTGGGAAAAAGACTTTATCTTGCCTTATGGCAATAGGTGTCATAAAGGAATCCTCAGAGGATGTATGGCTGCCTTACCCCATAGCACAAAGGACAGACACATCAATAGGGTTTACCTCTAAGCACCTGACATAGAATCTCTTTTTCCCATCACTAATACCACTTTATCCTTCTTCCTCTGCCACTTTGAGATTGCTGGATGGGGAAATGAGAAAGCAGAGAGTTTTGATTCTAGTGGCTTTGATGTTAGGTCTTCCTGAATTATTACTGCTGATTGAGATGCAAGTTTCAGTTTAGCTCTGATTTGCACCAGTATGCAACATTTTCCAGAATAGGGTTAGAGTTTTTAAGATTTCCTCTCCAAAGTTTAATGCTACTCAGGACCTGTTTTCTTCTTTATTGCTTCTCAGTTACAATAGTGTTACTTCCTCCATCTAATCTATTTAGAAATTTCTTTTCACCTCCTCTTAGCTGTTTTGTCTCTAACTGCTATCTAATCTTTCTGCTCACTTACTTCAGACACTAAGACAGGAATAACTTTCTGTAGAATTTGCTGACCGTTAAAATGTGAGGAAATAATATTATTTAAGTAAAGTTATAGACATTTTGACACATTGGATCTTCAATGAAATATGGCATAAAAACATTATTTGAAGCCTGTTCTGATACTGTTTTGAACACTCCATAGAAACAATTCACCAAGCAAAACAGAAATCAGTGAACATATTCAGATATAGAAAGAAAACTCTAGTCACTGCAGGAAAATTTTCAGCAAACTAGAAGCAAATAAAATTGTGATAGCATTTAATTTTCATGAAGATTTCTCTGGGCAAATGGAAAAGTGAAACAATTAAAAATTAAGTAAAAGGGAGGAGACCATTTGTACACAAGCACAGAAGTAGAAATAGTATGTAAGTTAGGGTACAATTGGATGACAGGTTTTTTCAGAATCTAGAAAAAGACTAATGTATAGTGACAAATCTGCCAGTAATAGTGGTGATCAATGGTATTACATCCTGGCAGTCCAAACCAGAAGTTACAAGACAGTATGGAGTCCTGTTGACATTTTAAGCCCTGGCTTCTCTAGAAGATTATTCAAAAAATGACTGCAATTAAAAAAACTGTTCCCTTTAACAGTCACTATTTTCAGGAGATGTTCTCAGTTCAAACAAAAAAAACACACAAAAAACCAAAAACACAAAAACAAAAACACAACAAAAAAACCAACAAAAAAAACAAAAACCCCAAAAAACAACAACAACAACAAAACCCAACCAACCAAACAAAAAACACATTCCCAAAAGGACAAAGATGTGCAAAATTCAACCAAAAAAAAAATACAGGGAGACATGATCCACTGAGCAGGCTTTCAGGAGTTGACAGTAATCCAATTGTTGTAGTTTATAACACTGATATGAAAAGAACAGTGTATATTCAGTCAGATCAATGACTATTAATCATAAAATGGAAGAATTTAAAGATGGAATAGCCCTGTTAGGTCATTCAGCCCGCACAGGCCTTCTCTCAAAAATACACTCCAATTCACTCCATAGCATATAGAATATAGCTTTACCGACATAAACTCCACTGCTTCAGTTTTTACAGCACAAAATAGAATTACTTCTATTGTTGGAAGCTGTTTAGCTTTTTGTAAAATCTGTCATTATCTAGTTTTGGTCTGTATCTTTTGTAACCTTTTTTTACCCAATATCTCTCCACAAAAAGGCGACAACAGTTGTTAGCCATTTTTTTTAAAAACTCATTTTGAATTTATTGGCATTCAGTTATACAATAAGTGGAAAAAACCCCCAAATATCCCAGACTTTCACTAATTGTTTATTTTGGCAGTACTCGTTCAGAGAGGAGAGGAGAGGAGAGGAAAAAGAAAAGTCATTGATAACATTGTTTCACTAAAGTGATTCACTTCTAAGCTTTTCTTTAACATACAGCACTACTCCATCACTGGTATGGTATTGCCTATTTTTCCTGGACACTTTGTGTCCTGCTTCCTTAATAGTTGACTTTTGTTAAGCTTGATCTTTCTATCAAATTCCCAGTATGTCTGTATCCATTCATTCATAGTGGTAGTTTTATTTTAAACTAAGAACCCTTTTTGGTACAGAATCATGTACAATTCCTAAAAATAAAAAAATAGTATAAAGTTAACCCATAGGTCAATATCTTTGTCTTATACATAAATAGAGTTTCAGTTTTTGTTTTTTAAATGCCTTGCCGTTTTGATTCAAGTCATATTATGACCAAGTTTCCCACCTATTTTTTGTTTTCTAAAATATTGCATTGTTCCCTCATGCTCAAGACTTCTGTAGATATCAGCATATAAGAGCACTTCAACCAAAATTTTCTCTTGAACATCTGAACACCGTCTTTGGTAGATGAATTCTGAAAGCTCTTTTAGTGAAGTTAGGTGACACTGAGAATTTGGTAAGCCAGAAATACAACCTTAGGAAGGCTATCTCGTTATCCAACATCTAAAGTCACAAACCTTCATCTACATGCCAAATTATATATTTTATATATTATTTGAACAACATATTCATATGAACTAATACTGTTAAATTTTAAAATGTTCTTCTGTATTATTTTATACATACTTTGCCACAATATGCAATGCTACTTGTACACACTAATTATCTAATTAACCAGGACAGAAAAACCAATTATAAATCCTACCTTCATTCTAAATGTATAATTATTTTTTATGACATAAAGTTACTTTACACTTTTGGCCCCTGGTGGAAGGTCCTAAACTAATTATTCTTCCTTGCTAATGAGTCAATATGGGATGAATTTGACCTTCATTAATGGTTTAAATTCTTGTATCAGCTAGTATTTGGTTCTTGAGGCAGGGAAGGAAACGCTTAACATGTATGGTATGTGATCTTTACAGAGTTAACTTGGATTTGTTCTTAAGATTGCCTTGACTCCCGTTACACCCGACATTGAAAAAGCTTTTTGCTTAGTTGTGGTAAGTCTTTTTAATAAGGTTAGTTAAATCAAATAGGGATATAAACTGAAGTGCAAGTGAGATTTCTGTTGCAGTGTTCATCTACCCACTTTTGAAAAAGGTAAATAATAAACTACTTGAACTACCAAGTTCTTTAACATATTTGTGTTGTTTTCAGTCATGCCCTAAGGACCAAATTGATGTTCACAGAAGAATCAAACAACAAATCTCCTATATGCAATGTACTATCATAGAGGTGATGAAGTGGCTACCAACCCATTTTACATGGAGGTGATGTATCTACACAGTAATGTGCAGCAACACTACCTCAGGTTCGAAAGGCTCACAACTCAATTTACTACTGACTCAGATGTTACCGCTATAACAACACAGCTTCCAGTCTGTGGTACATTAGCCCTGGTACGAAGCTAAGCAGCATATGGCTGGTCAGTCATTCATCCCCACATTTGGATGGGGGAGAGAATCAGAAGGATAAAAAACTTATGGGTAAAAATAAAAGACAGATTAATAAATGAAGGAAGTAAACAAGGAAAAACAGAAATGATGCAAAAATTACCACCACCAAACAGACGTTCAAGTCTCCAAGCAATAGCTACTTTTAAAAAACTTCCTCTTATTTCTACTACTGAGCACGATGTTGTGTACCATGGAGTATCTCTTTAGTCAGTTTGGATTAGCTGTCCCAGCTGTGTCTCTCCTAACTTCTTGCCCACCCACAGCCTACTTTCTGGGGAGACAGAGGGAGAAACAGAGAAGGACTGGATAGTGTGACAGCCCTGTACAGCAATAACTAAGATATTTGTGCGTTATCAACACTCTTTTGGTTATCAGCCTAAAACACAGCACAATATGGGCTGCTACAAAGAAAATTAAGTACTCAGACATACTCACTACAAAAAGACCATATGACTGCATTAGCTGGACGCAATATATATGACATAAGCTATAGGTTATTCTGAAAAATCTGAACTTTTGAATCCTTTTTACAAGAGAAATAAAATAGAAACAACTATTTTTATCCAAAGTTGAATATTACATTTATTTTGTAGTATATATTATTACCTTTATTTTGTAGTATATAATGATCTAGTTTAATATCTCTTTATTTATTTGGAAAAGCAATATTTTGGCTGAGTACAAAAAAGTGATTTGTGTTATAGGCTTCCAAAATTACTTTATTTCTTTCCAATGTCATAATCCACTGTATGGATATCTCCTTTTTTTCTCACACTCTTTTCTTCAAGTCTCTATGAGAAGTACAAAAATGTCTATAAATATATATTTTGCAAGAGAACAGTTGGAATTTTTATTCTAGAAAGAAGGACTTTAAACAAGAATGTAACCATTAAAGTACATTATTTATTATACCCAAAACATAGACTTAAAAAAACATATTCCAGAAAAATATATCATAAATATACTAGATATTACTAAAATTTATTCCTAATGGTATTAATATTCTCATCTG